TTAGAGTCTTGAAATAACTTGGCAATGATAGCATATGTAGTAAATGACAGAATCTGCGTTCAAAATCAGGCTACTTGACTCCATCGTATGAGTAGCTAAACTTTGTTCTTTACAGGTCTATTTCTCTTTACTTCACCTTACTCCACCCCATTTCCAATTGAACTGAAGATTTGTGTTTTTTTGAGGGTGGATTTGTTTGTACTTTTCTCTGGAAAACAGCAATGGAATAGGGCATTGTAAGATAGGAGTCGATGAGATCCTGTCATGTACATGGGCTGTCCGTAGCATGGTCTTGGAGCAGGTAAGAAATAAAATATGGAGAGAAGATAGTAAGTCCATGCTTCTCCTGGGAAGGTCCATGCCCCTTAGTATAGGATTCATGAGTTAATTTTTGCATTTTTTTCTTATATTATCAGGCCATTTCACCCTGAGATAAAAAAACATTAAATTTCCAATGCATTTTCCAATTGTTGGCTTTCATTTTTATTCTTTTCCTCTAGTAGAAGTGGAAATCATTTCATTTAGGATGTGGTAATTTAGAACAGGCATTATTATTGTCATTTTCCAAATAGGCTCAGAGAATTTATAAGACAGGTTTCACATCAAATTTATTTCTTTTAGAAAAGAGGTAGAACTCAACCTAGGATTTCTGCCTCCAAATGCAGGATTCTCAAGTGTGTTCAGATTGAATGTTACATGTCTAGGAGCCTCTTTGGTCTCGTTTCCTGCTTTAGACCAAATAGGAGAGATCTTCAAAAAGTCCACGGAATATGCATTCTATGAAAACAGTATGCATGAAATTCAAAATACTTTTGCATCAAAATAAACTTGAATTTAAATTTGATTTTTCTGCACACTTGTTGAAGCCCCTTTTATAAATTCACTCACAAACCGGACCTACTTCCTTGGCCTTCCATTTTAATGAATGGCACCCCTATGTGGTTGAGTATTGCAGACACCCAGACATCATCTTCAGTTTTTCTCTCTCCTTCATTCATACCATCCTGGTCCCATATCCACTCTGTGACTAAGTCATATGTATTGATATTTTTACCGCATTCTCATACTAAAGCCTATATGATCTTTTGATAACACAACTACAACCAGATTATAAATGTCATTCCATCCTTTACTGAAAATATTTCTCTATCTTTCCAGAGCTCTTAGATAAAAATCAGGGCCTTGAGCATGGCTGAGAAGGTCCAGAATGATCTGGTTCTTACCACGTCTCCAGCCTCATCTCTAAGTCTCTGCGCTGTAGTCCTACTGCCGTTTCCCCATTCCCTTTAAACACTACAAAGCCCTACATGCACACCATTTCCTCTTCATGGTCCACTCACAATCTGTCCTCCACCTCACCACCTCCTAAAGTTTGTTAGCATTTTCTCATCCTTCGAACTTCAGTTCAAGTGTGACTTTCACAGGAACAATTTCCATGGCCTCCATTACGGTATTTTCCCCTCCTTAGTTATCGGGGATACATTCCAAGACCCTCAGTGGTTGCCTGAAATCACAGATAGTACCAGACCCTAAATTTACTGCTTCCTATGGATACATACCTATGACCAAGTTTAATTTTTAAATTAGGCACAGTAAGAGATGAACACAAACTGATATTAAAATAGAACGATTGTAACATTAATCTGTAATAAAAGCCATGTGGATGTAGTTTCTCTTGCTCAACATACCTCACTGTTCTACACTCACCTATTTATGCATTTGTTGGTATGTAACTGAAATGGCTGAAAAAGAAACTTCAGGTAAGGAGAGGCGACCATATATGCTCTTGCACAAGACTGTTGTGTTTCTTAGTACCACTTCTCACTGTTGTAATTTTATGCTTAATTGTGGAATTATTTGATCCACTTTTGTCATCCTTAATACCTCTTTCTGCTGAATCTTTGCTTAGCACACAAAGATTGGTTGGTTCATATGCATACTTTTTGAACCACTGAGAACTGGATGAAAAGATGTGCTTCCTTTCCTCTTCCAGTTATGCTTACCGTGAGTCTGAATGAGAAGGTTGTAGATTTTACTCTGAATGCCCTCTGGATACAGAGTAAAGCTACACTCGTACTTTCCACTGAGTAAGGAAGATGCATTCCTTAAGTGAAGAGTCCATTTTGACACATTCTCAGGAGCTTCTGTGAAAGTTACCAGTGACTCACAGAGCCTCCCATGGGTACAGTGGAAGCCATGTTGGGGATGATAAAGTGCAATCAGGTCCACCCTGTCAGTGATCTTGGACCATTGCATCTGCACCAAGAACCCTTTCTTCTGTGTTTGGCAGGTAAGGTTGACATCAGAGCCAGGTAGAACATAAACGTCTTCTCTTGTACTGAATATTTCTTCCCATACTCCTGGAAAGGAAGTATATGAGCCATCAGTTTTACGATTCACATGGAATGACTATATATATATATATATATATGGAGAGAGAGAGAGAGAGAGAGAGAGAGAGAGAGGGAGAATACTATATACATATATGGAGAGAGAGAGAGAGGGAGAATACTATATATATATATATATATATATATATTTAGAGAGAGAGATATATATATATGGAGAGAGAGAGAGAGAGGGAGAATACACTTCCTAGAAAATGACAGAGTGAGAAAGGGAAAGTGGGAAAGCAGCCCTCCCCCAAGTTGGAAGATGGCCATGCCACAGCCCTTTCTCCTGCCTTCTCTTTCTTGGAACTTTGGTTCCACATGAGCATGTGCCAAGCCACTGGGTCTGGGACTCGAATCATACTGTTAGATATGTGGGATCCAGCCACTTCAACTACCATGTCACCAACTGGCCCTAGAGTGACTATGACTATTAATTAAAAACCCTGGTTATTTCAGTAAGGTGAAGGAGCAGCTTAAAATATTTCCCCCAGGTTGTTGAAGGGATAGAAATAGAAGATAGTTTGTGTATAGTCCAGATAAAAACACATGAGACTCAGTATAAATGAGGAGGCATTTACTTAGGGAAATGAGAAATTACTGACTTCTCAATATTTATCTCTTGGGACCAGCAGTTAGCGTAATGGCTATGTCGCTGGACTCCCACATAGTTGACCATGGTTCGCATCCCAGACCCGGTGGCTTAAACTCACACTGGGCACGTGTGTGTGCATGCCCAAGATCCCGGGAAGAGAATGGAGGAGAAGGGATTGCGGCGTGGCCATCCCCCCTCGGGGGTGATTTCTCGCTTTCTGTCTCTCTGTCTGTCTCTGTCTGTATGGCTAGCGCAGGTGCCCTATAGCAAAAACCTCTCAAAAAATATATATATTTATCTCTTGCCTATCGGTCTGTCCAAAGATAACTTAAGGTCTCTAACTACCTGTGAATTAAATGAAGTTTATTTGAAAACTGAAGCACACAAGCAAACTTAACCATTCTTATACCTAATAAAATTGACTTTTGGGAGTTCTAAATCAATAGCTGCATATAACATACAGGTGGCACTTTCTGAAACTGCAAAAATAACATATATGGACAGAAGTTTTTTTTAAAAAATATACGAATTTACAAGAGCCATTTACACATAATCTCTTTTTCAATCCTCTTCACATACCATAGGAGTAATGTTGTCAATACCCTTTATTAAGGAAGAAACCAAGGCACAGAAACATGAAGTAGTTTGCTCAGTCACATCTGTAGTACAAAAAAAATGGAATTATGATGCCTAAAGTCTTCCTTCTTTCTATATCCTTCATAGTCTCCAAACTGCCTCCCACATTCAGCTTGGTTGAGTACAATAAGAAATTTGACATTCTATGGACCAGCAGATGGTGTAATGATTATGTCGCTGGACTTCTCCGTAGTAGACTGTGGTTTGAGTCCTGGACCCAGCAACTTAAAACACACAGGGCACGTGTGTATGCATGCCCAAGAGGAGACTGGAAGAGAGAGGATTGCAGCATGGCCATTCTCCGGGGTTGATTTCTCACTTTCTGTCTCTCTGTCTCTCTCTGTCTCTTCAGTGAGCACACGTAGCCTATAGCAACAATCTCTCTCTTAAAAAAAAATTGACATTCTACATATGAGGATGGAAAAAACCCTTATCTCAGTGTAGTTAGACTCTTGAGGAGAAGGGAGAAGACATCTCAGGTGGAGGTTCCAGTTAGTGTCATCTCATTAACACTCTGAAATAATAGACCTAAAAAAAGATCCTCTCTCCCATCAGCAATCTGACCAAATGGCAAAGAGCACTTAAAATATGTTTAGCATTAAGCCTATGGCATGCCTTCAACAGTTCTGGCCTCAGTTTTAGAATTATCATGGCATACTATGAGAAATGATATATTATTGTGACAAAAACCACTGAAGCTCACAGAGAGAAAAGATAAAAAGATGACAAGCAACTAGAAGAAACAAGTCTCTCAAAGGCACTGGACAAATGGGAATTATTACACTTTCGTAGATGCAAAAGTTTGGGTAGACAGAAGTCAGTAGGGTTTAATGTAACTTCCTATGAGCTACCCTTTGCCTTATAATAGGCCTCTGATCCTATCTGCAGCATTATATTCCAAAGTCTCCTTTGATTAAGAAATTCTTCTTAAGAATCTTTCTAGCTGTACCTGAAAATGATGGTTTAGGGCATTCAGGCTCACTATAATGCCCCCATACTATGCAATGCAGAACTAATCTTTCTTTCTACTTTTAAATAGGCCCATTAGGTTCTCATTCCCGCAGTCCTCAGGACACCACTTTGTCTCCCAGGTCTGTACCTACACGTGCTTCATTCTAATTCAACATGTGTTCAACTCTCAGAGACCTGAATATTTGCAGAAGAAATGCCTGTTACATCCAAAAGGAAAAGGATATTTGAGAAATATAGTTAGGATCTTTAAGCATCAATGGCTTAGTGGATTTTTTTTTTTTTTAGTTTTCCAGAATTGTTCTAGTTACTGTTTGGAAAGCATTTTATTTCCAAGAAGTGCAAATTTCCAAAAGATTCTAGAGATCCTCTGAGGAAGGAAATGGGTAAAAATGCCTCAGAACAGTGGCATAAAGCTCCCATTCTCTTCCTGGTTTTAGCGTTTGTTAGTAACCGTTTCTAGACTTTTACAGTTCTCGAATAGCTGCTACTTAAATACATAACTGAAAACCTTAGTAATGATATGCTCTTTGGTAATGAATTTCAGCAGTAGTCGCAGACATTTTAAATGAACAGAGGCCCCATCTGCCTCTAAAGCAGCCAATCTGACAAGAAAGGACAACTAGAAGTCTTACCTCTGGCAAAATGGATCTGGATGATGGAATAGACAGCGCAGTACGTCCATTTTTTCTCCATTGTCTCCTGCAGACTTTACACCAGCATTTCCATAATGAACACAAAAGTCAATTGATGTTTTTAAGCAAAATTCAGCCACCCTATTCGTGCTTAAAGAAACCCCAAATCTACCACACGGCTGAGTCTGTTTATCACTTGGCAAACCCCCAGGAAATGAAACGTAGACAGGAAAGTAATGTGGTTCAAGGCTAAGTTTAACCTTCAACAGAACAATGTTGAAACTGTCCTCTGAAATCTTGTCTATCACCTTTTAAAAAAGACTTTTCAATAGCCAAAGATTCCCTTGTTCAGGATCTGCATGTCAGTCAAGCTGCTTCTGCAGTCCAAACAAAGGAGACCATGCAGAGCAGCCTGCCATGTGCTTTTACACAGTCAGCTTTCTTCAAGAGCACAAAGTCATTTAACAAATGTGAGTTGGTGTCTTTCATACTAGTTTTTCTGTCCAGTCTTAAGTATGTTTTCCAGAATGACTCTGCAGAAAAAAAAAAAATTAGTACATTTCATTTTAATAAAATCTGAAAAGTAACAGGGGGTAGCCTCAATTATCAAATTGTCTCTCCTCTCACAGGGAAATGCACACTTTCTGGGAGTGAAAATGTGAGAGTTCCTTTCCTACCTCTTGTCTAGGATAGTCTGAAGGTCAAATAAACTCTTCTACTGTGCTCACGAAAGGCCGTTTTTTTTTATTTGAGGATTATAAAATTGGTTTATTGTAAAAGCAATCCAAGAATACCCAGTTAAGATCTTATCCCAATGCTACCCAATATTATCAAGAAGCAGTTAGAGATGTTTATATAAAGAATAAGAACATAAAGCAAGAAAAGACCACATCAAGGCTGTGATTCAGAATCTCAAAAAGAAGGACTCTTGGATCTCCTTCCAGTCAGTCCAGAAAGCACTATGAGAGCAAAGCACGGGGCAGGTACCATGGTGCTGCCCCAACACAGATATGCCTAGCCAAATTAAAGACGAAGGGAAATGATCTCCATTCCTTGTTTTGTGGCTTTTTTCTGTTGACAGAAGAGCTTATCCATGCTTTAGCCCCAAACCATATAGACCAAGGCAGTAATAATCAGAAGCCAAAGGCAGAGAACTTCCCACCTTGACCAGCTACCAGGCCCATTACATTCACCCAGTTACTCCCACTTACAGAGGACTGTGATGAACTTCAGGGAAGTGATCTCCTGGGGAAAATGTCTGGTTATTCATGGAAGGACATGATTATTCTCTGCCAGATATGAAAGTATTGGTTTTCCAACCTGGGATAAAATAGTCTGTCCTCACCCTCCCACATTAAGAAAATAAGCATTTGGCTCAAGAATACAGTATATATTTATTTACTCTAAAAATTTTTAAAATAATCATTGATTCAATTTTATTTATTTATTATTATTATTTAAGTTTACCAGAGAGAGAGAGGGTAAGTGAGAAAGCAAGCCAGCAGGTCCAGGACTTGAACCATGGATGGCCATGTGGGAGTCCAGCACCTTATTAACCATATGCCACCTGCTGGCCCCTAAAGTATATATTTAATGGGAAAAGAATAACAGTAAATAAATGTGTGTGTCTCTAACTATATGAATAATTGGTGAAATATTCTGTGACCTAATCTTGTTATTACAATAAGCTCTACCCATCAAGACTACAGAAAAATGAGAAGACTGAACTGTGTTCTTGAGGTGATGATTCTTCTGAGGTCAGGTAGAGACCACTTCAGCCCGGTTGTCATCATGCATATACTGATCTCTTCTACACAAAGATTTGTGGAGAATACAGGATGGTGCTAAGACAGAAGGACTCACTCTTGCCATTCAGAAGATTTCAATTTAGCTGGGAGAAGAGAGATTTTCATGTGAGAAAACAATGACTATTGTTTCCCTGGTAAGCCCTGTGCTACCACTGCAAATACTTGCCCTGATAATTTTCACAATTATTCATTACTACTCAGATAGTGATATTTCCTGCAAAGGTCAAAAAATAGAGTTACTTACTTTCTAGTCCAGGCCTCCCTGAACCTTTATTCTCATTTCCTTCATCTCTCCACAAGTTTCCGATCACTGAGGATGTTGAGTCAGGTGGTGCTGATTGTAATATTCCCAGGGAAGGCTGGGAGCTCAGAATCCTTAATTGAAGGAAAGAAAGAGCACTGCTCTGGGTGCTTTCTTCTCTTTC